CGAGTGGTGGTTAGAAATTTACACTCCTCAACCCCAACTGAAGTGATAAAAGAAGAACTAGCGACGCTTGGTTTCAAAGTGCGTCAGGTAACCAACGTTCTGAAGGAGAATAAGGAGCAGCCAGGAGTGAGTAATAAAGTTCCACTACCTTTATTTTTCGTGGATCTAGAGCCATCACCTGGCATTGAAAAAATATATGATATAAAGAGATTGTACTACACTATCGTGAAGATAGAGAAGCCATACCCCAAGAAGGAAATTGTGCAGTGCCACAATTGCCAGGCGTATGGCCACACGAAAACTTATTGTCACCATCTGCCGCGTTGCGTGAAATGCGGTGAACAGCACAAATCTGTGGAGTGCACCAAACCAACACAAGATCCTGCAGTGTGTGCACTATGCCAGGAGGGACACCCGGCCAACTACAAAGGCTGACAAACCTATAAGAGCCTCAAATCCAGATACCAAAAGAACCGGATTCAAGATGAGACAACCAGACCAAGAAGAGAACCTTCTAGAATTGTTAACAATAATTTATCATACTCCGAACTACTTGGAGGTAAGAACCCCAATAATACATGTGAAGCCCTGCCGCAGCAACTACCTCAGCCCCAATCTCAATATTCTGTTCATCCTAACACACATAATCATCAAAAACCTCAAATTCCTCATATTCCTCCTCCTTCAAATGCAACAGATCTCACTAGTTTGTTAGCATCTTTCCTAACCGATTTCAAATCCCTAGTCACTCCACTCATATCACTCCTTACAAATCTCGTATCTCACCTCATCCCTCCTTTGAAAAAACCTTAATGACCCACATACCAAAACCCATGTCCATTCTCCTTTGGAATGCGAATGGTGTTAGAAATCACGTTGACGAACTAACAGCTTTACTACAAGACAAGAACATTGACGTAGCCTTAATTACAGAAACTCGACTGACCATAAAACAGCATTTAAAAATCCCACAGTATTTAACATACCGTACTGACCACCCTGATGGCAGAGCACATGCCGGCACTGCTGTCATCGTACACCAATCCCTCTCCCATCACTTACTCCCATTACCTACTCAAGATTTCCTACAGTCAACCGCTATTGTAATCAAAGCCTTCTCCTTTCCAGTCACCCTTGCATCAGCATATTGCCCTCCTAACAGATCCATATCCAAAGTCCAGTTCAGTTCTCTCCTCAACTCCTTAGGTCATCATTTCATCCTGGGTGCAGACTTAAATGCCAAGCATCAAGTTTGGGGTTCAAGAACCACGAATTCTCGTGGCAGAACATTTCTGTCTGCACTCAATACCCAACGTTTCAGTCTCCTTCCACCCAACTCACCTACCTACTGGCCCACAGATCCTAACCGCAATCCCGATATCCTTGATTTTTTCATCCACAGTGGCTTAGGTCCCCTCAATCATTCCCTTACCCCTCTTGGCGAACTATCCTCAGATCATAGTCCATTATTACTCCAATTATCTCTAGCTCCTATTCCTAAGTCTTCTCCACCGTCCTTCATCAGAGGCCCAGTTAACTGGAAACTCTTTCACCAAATCCTTACCGATAAAATTGACCTCAGAATGACCCTGAAAACCCCAGATGACCTTGACAATACCGTACACTTTTTTACCACCACTATCCAACAAGCAATCTGGACTGCTTCCTTTCCAAACCACTCCTCAAGAACTCCTAAGAAAAATAAGTTACCTCAACACCTCATAGACCTAATCCATACCAAACGCCGTGCCAGATTATTATGGCAACGTACTAGACACCCCACCGATCGCCAATCCTATAATTATTTTTGCAAAAAACTAAAGATAGAATTGGCCACCTTCAGATCCCAATCCTTCAACTCCTACCTCACTTCCCTCTCTTCTCATGACAATTCCCTATGGAAGACCACCAAACATATCCTAAAACCCCATCACATATCACATCCTCTCCGTCGAGGTGATGGCTCTTGGGCAGCATCTGACGAAGATAGAGCCGAAGAATTCGCCAAAAACCTTTCCCTTACATTCACCTCTCATCCAGAATCCAATCCCACCCACACGTCAGCAGTAGAGGAATTCCTTAATTCACCCATCCCACTCTCCTTACCGCCTAAAGCAGTTAATCCTTCTGAGGTCAAATTCCTTTTACAAAAACTACCTACCCGTAAATCACCTGGATACGACCTGCTTACCTCTCAGATCCTTAGACAACTCCCTCCTAAAGCTGTCATATTCCTTACATACATATACAATAGCATCCTACGAACCACCCACTTTCCCCTTTTGTGGAAACATTCCACTATTATCCTGTTTCCGAAACCAGGCAAACCTCCCAACACCTCAACGTCCTACAGACCAATTAGCCTTCTTCCTATTCTCTCAAAAATCTTTGAAAAGATCCTCCTAAAACGCATCCTACCCTTTATAGAATCCCAAACTCTTCCTTCCCATCAGTTCGGATTTCGTTCACAACACTCTACAGTCCAACAAGGACTCCGAGTGGTTGATCATATTTCCGCAGCATTGGAAAGCAAGCAATATTGCTCGGGTGCATTTCTGGACATAGCTCAAGCTTTCGACCGGGTATGGCACGCCGGGCTTCTTTCCAAGCTGAAAAACTATCTTCCTCAGTCCTTGTACCTTGTTCTCCGTTCCTACTTCTCAGATCGTACCTTCCGAGTTCGTTGCGGTTCTGAATTTTCGCATTGCTATCCAATTGAGGCAGGTGTTCCTCAAGGTAGCGTATTGGGTCCCGTCCTTTACATCCTCTTTACCGCCGATATCCCTGTCCATCCCGATTCATTACTGGCTACTTTTGCTGATGACACCGCTATTCTATCATCCGACTCAGATCCCAACATAGCATCCTTAAATCTCCAAAACCACCTCACCTTGATTGAGCACTGGTGTAATAACTGGCGCATTAAAGTTAATGAATCTAAATGCCAACACATTACCTTTACACTCCGACGCAGTTCCTGTCCACCAGTACACTTTAATTCCATCCAGCTTCCTTACTCAGACACAGTCCGGTATCTTGGCTTTCATTTAGACCGAAGACTGACGTGGAACCCACATACTAGACTCAAAAGACAAGAACACAACCGACGATACGGCCAGCTATACAGACTACTAAACAGAAAATCCAAACTTTCTATTGAAAACAAATTACTTATCTACAAGACAATACTGAAACCTATATGGACATACGGACTTGAACTGTGGGGTACAGCAAAAGCTTCTAACATCAAACGTATTCAATCCTTTCAATCTAAAGTCCTTCGAACAATAGTTGATGCTCCGTTCTATGTAAATAACAAAATCCTACACCATGACCTTAATATCCCATTTGTCCTAGACCTTATTCCAGAAAAATTCTCCAAATTTCACCAGAACCTTACCTATCATCCAAATCCCCTTGCACAATCTCTATCCAGCACCACCCATCCTTACAATCCTCCTCGAAGGTTGAAGCGGCAGTGGCCCAGAGACCTTTTGTAAATAAGCATCTATTGGAGTTTTGGCAATGGCCAGATCCTCCACTCAAGCCCGAGTGTGTATGATTAGGTTAGTTCTTTTGTTTATATACATTTATTTTATTTTATTGTATTTATTTTTATTTTATTTATTGTATTTATTAGTATTAAGTTTCTGTATTATTTTTTTTTTTTTTTTTATTGTAAATAGAGTGTGAGTGTGCTTTCTCTGAACACTATTATAAATGTCCTTGATGTGACAGAATGTAATATTTCTAAATAAACAAATAAAAAAAAAAAAATAATAATTAGAACGGCAAGGATTCAGTGGAAATCCGAATAAATCTATTGTCGGCTTTGAAATTTTTAGCTTAGATAAATAAACAAACCAAGTAAAAACTATTCAAAAACAATCTTACTTGTTTTTAAAAAACATTTTAGTCCCTAATCAATTATAGGTAGGGTATGCCGCCTACTTCTATGATACAGTCCTACTTGAGCTAGGAGCACAGTGCCTTAATCATTGAGTCTAAGCTTTAGTCTACTAGTCTCCTTTTCCTAGCTAGTTCTAATAGTTGTTTTAAGCTAAGCAGCCAACAGCAATTTAAAAGTTCCGTTATGGACGTATATTTTATTTTAATTTGAGTGTGTCCTCTTGTCCTAAAGTATCCTTTAATAATACCCCACTTATCCCTGTTGAACAAATTCGATACCTTGGACTCCGCTAAGAGAAACGTCTAACTTGGAATCCTCATACCAGACTGAAACGACAAGAAACAACTCGACGTTTCAGACTACGCAAGCACTTACTAGACAAACTCTCTAAGCTCCCAGTCAATTACAAAAGACTCATATACATGACTACAATAAGACCTATTTGGACTTACGGAGTTGAGCTCTAGGGCTCCACTAAGCCATCGAATTCCTCTCGTATCCAATCCTTGCAATCCAAAATCCTTCGTAAAATCCTCACTGCTCCTTATTTTCTCACAAACAAAATCATCCATAACGACCTTCATGTTCCTTATGTTTCTGACTTGGCCCAATCCAGATACCTATCCTTCCATAACAAACTTCAGAACCATCCAAACCCTCTCGTTTCCAACCTTGCTTCCCCTTCGATCCCTGACAACCCTCCGAGGCGTCTGAAAAGAAAATGGCCTCGAGATCTCCGTTTGTAAATACATTTTTCTCAACAAGTGATTTCATGTTATTATATTCTTTTGTTCACATTTACTGAATGTATTTTTACTTGTGATACAATTGTAAATATCATCAATAAAAAAAAAAAAAAATGAGCATGGCGGTTTACTCTGTAGATGTAATAAATAATAGATAGACTCGTACCATTTTTTTTGGAATTTGCTTAATTTCACACAATTATTTATTATTACCTTTTTTATCGAAGCCATGAGTCATAAATTAGATTTGGTTTATTTTTCTCAGTAAATATTAGTCCTTTTCCTCCTCCTCGTTTTGGTTTAATTTTATTTAACTTACACACTCTTCAACCCTGCGATCGCGAATGGTTATCGAAACTTTTCAACTCCAAGATAGTGTGCGATGTATATATCCCAACGCAATCCCACCCAAGTGTTACCATAAGTATAGACTGTCCCAACTTGTCTCAAAGAGGGACGTTTCTGTGATGCCGGAGGGCTCAGCAGCAGGTAAATATAGACGAGAAAGGAGGGAGCCCGGCCTTGGAGCGGGAGTCAGTCCTCAGCCGGCACCGCATGAAGCGAGCCGAGTTCTTCCTGGTAATGAGATTATTGTTGTTGATTAATGTTGATATCAATTATTGTTGTTGATTAATGTTGATGTCAATTATTGTAGTTGATTATAACCGCTTGTTTGTGAGTGAAGTGTCTGGTTAAGTGAGTGTGCGGGACGCCACGGCCGGATAATGGAATAACCAAGTCAGCAATAATTGAACACCATCAGCATGTTTATATCGGATCTCCTTTAGTATCGGTAAGGTGCAGATGGTTGACTCCTCGAGGCAACAATTTACAGAAAAAATTAACACTAGAAAATATATTATATGAATTGAGATAATAATAAATAAATATACGTCAAAATTTTACTACGAATAGAGCTTATATCGAAGTCGTTTATTCCTAATCAATATTAAAAGGTTTCCAGGAAAAGTGGAAAACTACATTCTCTTTTCTAATTGTAATATCAGAACCCCCTAATGAAATAATATTAGTGGAATTTGAAATTTCAGGAATTTTTGGTCAAAATTTTATTATTTTATGATGATGGTTTCTGATTTTCAATTAGGCTACTTATTTTTTCTAAGTTGTGAAAAAATAAATAATCAATTTGAGTATTTGGCACTTATAAAAATACATCCATCGTTTCACTGTAAGCGGCGATAATTCTGCCACTTTACTCTCATAACGAATAACAGTATTTGTAGCAATGAGTAAAATCATTTGATGATTGACAATACCTTCCTACGCAATGTTTAACTTTGTGTAAACAAGTAATATAAATTTTACTGAAAAAAACTTTGTGTAAACAAGTAATATAAATTTTACTGAAAAAAAAAATACGAAATTCTTTATTTGTTCCACCTATTTCCGAAAATCACTAATAATTTCTGTATTAATTAAAAACATTAAATTTTGAATCGGGTCACTTTTTCAAAGAGTTTTTTGAACGAAAAAGCTTTAATGGGTTTTGTTTTGGACAATAAAAAATGTTATATGATTCAGGGGGAAGGGAGGGGAACTTGTAAATTTGTACTTGTAAAATTGAAAATTGTACTACAAAAAACAAAATTCTTTTTACAATAATGGTACAGTAGAATTAATTTACTTTAATTTTTCATTTGATCAGAACCCTTAAGAAAATCACGTTTAATTATATTGCTTGGGAAAATGGTTCATTGAATGATTTTACATGGAAATTTATAACTATTTTAATTTCCCTGAAAATCAATTAGGATTTAATTTGGAAATAAATGACTCATTTGTATGTAAGAGTAAAAAAAACAAAAATAAATAATAAGCCCACTTCACATTTTAACATAAATGAAAACGATTTTAAACATCTCACGGAGCGGAAATATATAATTGAAACTCGCACTAAATTTTGATTAAAAAAAGAAAACATATTCAGATATGTAAAAAAAAAACATCCATAGTTATGCCTGTTTGCGTTTTATAAAATATCGTCGGTTTATTGAAAAAAATCATTGAGTACACTCTTCGTGGAGCTCAACTTCTCAGATCTTTGTGAATTTTGAACATATATCGTAAAATTTAACAAACCCTTAAACATATCAAACGTAGTTAAAAATTTTGCGATTTTGCAAAGCAAAATTCATCAAATTCTTATTGATTTGATGACTTTGGCAACAAGTTTCTTTTTTTTTTTTTTTTCCTACCCCCAGGAATTTCTTGATTACAAAATACAATATATATATATAAATGCGGCAATAAGCTAACGATGTAATCCCAATATGAAATGAATGGAATATTCCAACTAAACGAGTCGGTGTTTTTTTTTTTTTTTTTTTTTTAATGGACTCATTAATTCTCTTTAAAAATGAGTTATATTCAATTACAATTGAGACAGACAGAAAACATTTTTTTTTTTTTTTTAGTAAATTTAATTTATCCAATACCATTTATAGATTACAAACCCAGTTTTTGGCTATTTTATACTCGTCCACTTACTGAAATGTCCCTTAAAGAATAATTTTAGAATAATTTTCAACTGTCGTTTAAATAAAGAGAAACTAAAGAATGTTCTATACTCTAAACAAAAAATTGTAGTTAAGACATAAATCATATTATTTTCCTAAATGGTATATCTTATACTTAGATCACAATTAATTACGGATTACTCAAATTCATAGTTATTAAGGTACGAAAACCTATCTTTAAAAATTAATCATTCACAAATCGATAAACTAATATTAGGCATTCAAACGAAATAGAAGATAAATTAAAATTTAATGCAACTAAATGAAAATTTTTACGGCATATTTAATGATGACCGCGGAAATATTAAAATTCCATGTCATCATAATTCACTTTAATTCCGCAGCTTTATCCTTTGATTCAAAACATTATTAATTTAACATTAAAAAAATTACAAACTCTATAGATGGCCTCTTAAAAAATAAAAATCTTTGGATTTGAAGAAAATTAAAATATACTAATCAGAATTAGATCTTAAAGTTTTATGTTTGGCTCATGGGAATATTGCTAGTATCGGCTTAGAACTCCCAGTCCCCGGCTTAGAAATTATTATTAATACTAGTTCGACCGTGCGGTTAATTATGAAAGTATATCAGTCAGTCAACGAATGGTGATTTAATATGTAAGTAAGCAACATAAATATATTATGAGAGAAGGGATTTTTTTTTTCTCGTCGGCCCAAGACCCCCACAGAAGTCCTATACTGCCCTATTGTTATATTAAAATACAATAGAGATATAGATGTAAATTACAATTATTTATTTTTAAAAATCTATTTTAGATTCTCCAATAAATTTGCACAATGGTATCCCTATCTAGATCAGCGCTATGGTATTCCTTGGAGGAAAACGCTATTGTTTTGAATGAGGGGGTATTTCTTCCGGTATTTATTATATATCTTGCATTTTAAAATAATAAACCCATTGCACGGTCCTCGATGCAGTTACATGTCGAACATTTATCATTTGTTTCAACTTTAATTAATGTAGAACGGATTTTTGTCGCTTCAAATAGTTAATTATCGAATTTCAATAGGTTTTATCTTTGATGATCTAATGATTTTTTTTTTGGATTTGGAAGAATTTTAGAAAACGTTAAAATAATTAGGAAATCAAAACTCACTCTTATTGTACTTGATGTCCGCACCAAAATCTTCGAAACCCATTTTGGCCCATCTGTAACTACCGACTTATAATTGTCCCTGTTTCCAACATACACAAATAGTGAAATGGTTTGTATTTTTTTTTTTTCAAGAAAAAAAGGTTCGGTAACTTTCAGTGAAATTGCGAATCCTTTACAAATTCTTGACTTTATACAATTAAAAAAAGATTTCGAACCTTAATGAAATAATATTAGTGGAATTTGAAATTTCAGGACTTTTTAGTCAAAATTTTATAATATTATGTTAATGGCTTTGACTCAATTAAGCTATTGACTTTTTCTAAGGAATGAAAAAATAAATACTCAATATGAATATTTTATGTCTTATAAAACTATTTCATAAGTTTTAGCTTTTCACTTTAAGCGGCCAATTTTGCCACTTTACTCTCCTATAGAATTACGGTATTTGTTGCAATGGATAAAATATTTTGATAATTGACAATACCTTCCTACGCAATGTTTAACTTTGTGTAAACAAGTAATATAAATTTTGCTGAGGCGTAGTGGGTTAAGTAATTATTTAGATTTACATATGCTAATGGTACTTTAAATTCAACGGGTGATTGTGAAAGTTGGCAGCCTCAGTAAGTTTTTAGTTGTTATTTTGTTGTCATACATTTTGTTGATTGCTTCCGTTGATTGTTACTGAGGACGCCGTTGCCATAGCAACTGAACGTAACCACCCGTGTGATGATGGTTTCCATGGTCACAGTTATGGAAAATTAGTTTTTTTATCGTCTCCCGAAATTCAAAAGCTATATTTCTTATCGTTATTATTATAATTATGTTTTTAGGCAATCACATAAACTATTTCAAAGGCTTGTTGTGTATTACATATAGTAATTGTTCTTTATGATAGGTTAATTAGTCATTTTTAATTACAGTATGTTTCAAATTGACAAAAAACACCAGGCTTTTAAATTTGTATATTCGTCGTGGTATGTATAGTGTCGCTTGGAAAATTCTTCTTATTGTTGATTAAACTTATCAATTTATAGTCGTGGCTTTCTTTTTATGCATTAGTTTAGCATGCACTTTAGATTTTAAATAGTTAATATTTAAAATCTTATTATCTAATTTTATTTCGTATTTTATAACAGACCTATATTGATTTTCCAGTTGATCTATACAGTTTGCCAACGTTACTTATTGTTTTTCTCTGTCTACCTTAATCATGAATTAAAAAATTGAAACTTTCCTTCAACTTTTTTAAAAAGTGCCGTTTTAAAACAGTTATATATGAGATTAGGAAATAGATAAACAGTAAAATGACAATAATTATTAAAGTAATAATTTATCGTAAGTAAATTATTTGATTCTAATTTGTCGTTTGTTTGAGCAGCTAGAATAAAACTGCTTTATGGATCAACATTTTGACGAAATTAATTGCTTTTATAGAATTTCTAAAAACACGCTTCATTAATTTCGAAAGGAAAAAAAAGACAGAACTGTCTTTTAAATACGCAAGTATTTCTTATGAAATATTTCAGGAGACAAAAATTAAAAAAAAAATAACAAAAAATTAATAATCAATTATAAACTGTAACCATTATGAATACTTCTGACTTAAAAGACATTCGTTGCAACTGCTCATTGACAAATGATAAAACTTATAGTCTAGTGGTGTGTTTAGACATTTCCCAAGCTATATTTAAATGATTGTTTCCCTATTCTAATGTTCTTGTTTCTTGTTGTATGCATAACATGCATGCAATATGCATGCAACATACATGCATAACATGAGGTGTATACAAAAAAAAAAAAAAAATTGTTGGGCTTTTAGTAAAATAAATAATATTACCTCCTATAATTTAGGGAAAATAAATAACACACTATTTAAAAATAACACACTGCTTTCCGGATCGACTTATTTTGTATTATTATAGAATTGCAAAATCTTACTTTATTCTTTACCTTACGAAATTTTCATGTCGCTTGGTTCTAGCAATTTGCATCAATAAATTAATTATTATAAATTACCAAGTAATAAAAAACCTACC